CCACGTTAACCTAGCAAAGTTTCAAAAAAAAAATGGTTCAAGAAAAAAGGCAACAGCCTAAGATACTTAGCACAGCTAAGTCTGCTTAGCACAGTTACTTGTGCTGTACACCAAGTTAGATCTGGAATGCAGTGTCTTTTCTGAGCTTTCCCATTAAAAACCTTTCTATCAACTCTGCAAACCTACCTTCCAGCTGGGAGCTGCAATTATTAACTCAGCAGATAGGTGCTTTGTCACATTCAAAAGAAAACAAATCTGCTCCAATGAAGGGAATAAACAGCTCTAATGTTCAGCCTGGGAAGCATTTGCATTGACAGGACATAATCACCTTTCATTTCATGTAATGATACTATATCGTGTTTACTTTGTTCCTCCCATTCCCAAATTATAACATGCCTGCTCCCCTTGACTGGAAGCTTGAACCCCTAAGGAATGCATTGAACTGAATGACATTTGTTCATACCATGAGGCCATTATTGACGTTTTATGCAGAATTCACTGTGTGCACTTGGAAGAAGTATATTTTATTTCAGAATTCATCATAAAAGTTTTTTTTTAAAACAAAAATCCTGAAGCAAACTGCCTCTCCTCTAACATAATGCTAGTTCTTCACTCCGAATATTTAAAACTTCTTGAAATAATGCAGCAACCTGCCACCAATAGGCTTCTCTGATTTCCTCCATGGATATAACTTTTAATTTCCACAGAGATCTCCAGCATTTTATTACTAGAAACAAAGGGTAACAAGACATGTAATCTCTCAGATCCATTTGTCTTTTGTTGGGTATATATTAAAAATGAGGGCTTGATAAAGAAGGAAATTGATGTCTGCTTCAAACACAAAAATATCACCAGAAAAGGGGTTACAACCACAATATCCACATTCCCCTTCACTATTTAACTATTCTTGACTTTTTAGATTGCTAGTAAAAGTTTGAAGAATTTATTAAAGGAAAACAGATAACTCATCCAAATAGTAATAAGTCTTAGGAAATTCTAGAATAAAAATCAAGGAAAAAGTGCTCTAAGAATGACTTGAGAACTACAAAATAATGTTTGAAGATAATGACTTCTTCCCTCTTTGGGAAATTTGAATTAGACTGAATAAAGTTGCAGTGGAAATACTTTGGGGGTCCTGCACACGATAAGATTTTCTAGTTCTAATTTCTTTGATGACAGAATCTTATCACTTTGATTTGACTCTTCTCTGCTGTGGTGATAAGAAAGCAGAGGAGAACATACAAACTACTTGTATTTATTCAGATGATCTTTTCCTAGCATTTGATGAGCCAAAAATTTATTTTACATTGACCAGTGAATAGAATTGCAGCTGGGAATGGTTAAACTATTTCCAACATGGGCCAAGCTCATATCGAAGAATAGAGTGGAATTTCCCACATCTCATTATTAATCTCCACCATTCAGGATTTAGAATTGAATCCCTCTGCATTAAGGAGATAGTAGCTCACCTAATTACCCACCATGGGAATTGCTTGTAGAATAAAAGAATGGTGTGTCTTATCCAATACTCACATGGGGATACTTTCTACATATATAGACTAAAGAGTGCCAGAAAGCCAGAAGGCCAGAAAAAAGTCCCTTTAGTTTGAGCTTACAGTCACACTATATGGCTAAGAAATAACACTCCAGTCTCTTCTTTCATCCCTCGGCTCTATCCATACAATCTTCCACCTTGCTCAATTTTTAGTATTTTTCTCCTATCTACAAGGACCAGCATGCTAAATTTTTGAAGCACGTTTATATTACATCTCTACATTATACAGTCAGACAAGTATGTTTTTACTCCATTTAGTGAAAAACTGAGGAAAGAACGGCGTAACATAGAGGGCCCCATAGTCTTTATTAACCTTGTGCATTTCTACAGAGAATAAAGTAGATATTGCTCACTTGAGAATGATGACAATGGCTTTCATTGTTGTCCCCACCCCCTCCAAACATACTTCATTAGTTCTTCCTGGGGGGGTCTCCGCTCTATCTTAAACATAGTCTATATTATATTTAACACTTCTACTGAATGCTTGAAACTTGCAAATTATCCTACTTACTAAAGGACCTCCCGTATTTAGTGGTGCTCAGTAAGTCCTAGGTACAGTCAAAGAGAGCTTTTCTGCAAGTAAGAGTCCTCTGTCTCTTAACTGCCTACAGAACAGTTGTTAAGCTTAAAGAAAATCTTATATCTGAAAGATTCACAATAATATATTAATCTGATTATTTAGCTATTAGAGAATAACTGAATATAGGAAGCCTGATCCCTCTTAGAGTTTTGTCTATCACTTGTTTGGCTTCCATCAAAAACAATTATCTTACATGGCATTATTTACTTTCAAAGACAAGATTTACAAAAGAAAGCTGAATATCGTTCAAAAAGAATATGTAAATAGGTGAAAGATCAAATGCAAAGGTGTTAACCTAAGCATACCTTAGCTCTCAAATTGTCCTTCAATGAGTACAGATACCCTAGACTGAACACCAGAGCCTCCCAGCCATTCTGATAATTAAAATATCTCTTTATAATGGGCATTATTCATTAGGCAAGCAAAAAGAAAAGGATTGCCATTATGAATATGAACAAATGCTTTCCAAATAAGTATTATTCTCTGAGAGCACTATAGAAATGTACATTATTTTGTACTATTATTTTGCTCTGCTTGTTATGGTTTTAGAGACAGGGTCTCTACTACATAGCCCAGTCTGACCTGGAATTTGCAATCCTCCTGCTTCAGCCCCTTGAGTGTGGGGATCGCAGATGGGCATCGGCACACATGGAAGAACCTTACTTTTCAAGTAGAAATGAAGCACACAGATTTGGAAACATTTGGATATTGGTTACTTTGGTTTTAAAGCTCATTTAGTAATCAGTGCAGGTTTCTTAAATAGCTTATTTGGGTTTAGGTTTTAAAAGCTGGCAATAGACCAATATAAATATTAAATTGATACTTGCTCTACCCCTTAAAATGTCAATGATGCTAACAGTAAACATGAACCCCTGACTGGGAGCCCTTGGTTCAGATATCTACCTATTGATCATATGACCTGGAGCATATGGGAACTCAAATCCAACCAGGAGAAAATGAAAAAAAAAGTATTAATCAAGGAGATCTGAGGCATATCTTCATAAATTCACAATCCATGTCTTAAGTACCTTCTATTGGTAGCAATTTTCCAGTCTTGAGTCTAAGTATCCAGGTCCCCTTAACTGAACCAATAACATAAATTGATAGCCCTGTATAAAATAGATTCCATAATATAAAATTTAACAACATTCCTTTAGTGATAGCAGAAGGGACTTGGACAACATTTATGAAATTAGAGTGTGAGCCAAACTACTGGCCTTTCTGCCAGTCTTTGAGTTTTCTGGGAGTCCTGACTTTGACCGTTACATCTCTGAGCACAGCCTTAGAAAAGTCTTGAAGAGCAAGAAGGCACTTTCCATATGTTCTTCTGCATGATCAAAGACAACCTGGGTATCATACCCAAGAAGGCCTCAGCAAAGCACTTCAGTAACTATGTTCTGAAGAAGTGAAGTCTACTCTATCTGCAGCATTTCTGAGTAAGGGGAGAGATTTTCATGGGAGATCCTGAAAAGTAACTCCAGTACCCACATGTTATTTCTCCTGCACCCCTCTACTTTCTAATAATTCTCACTTGGAAGTAGGTACAATTGAGAATACAAAAAGCCAAATCTCCCCTGAGTAACCTTGGCAGACATTTTCAAAGAAAATCACCCCCACCTCATGGTGATCTGTATTTACTAATAGTCCACAGGCTGCTTGGCCAGAAGAATGTAGCCTGTGGTTGTAATTTTTTCTTCCTTCATTTCCAATCTCTGCTCAATTACAAATTGGACTCAAGCCAACTGTGCTTCATTATTTCAAATCTATTTCACTAATTTCTTGTAATTAATAATATTTCACTTAAGTTGGAGAATAATAACAAAGACAGGCTGTGCCCTACCATTTTGAGAAATGCAATATAAATTCTTGTCTCATAAAACTGGAGAACCCAAAACACTGCAGCCACTCTGAATCAAGATAATTTTTCCTTAAAAAGTTAAACCCAGAATTAACTAGTAATATTATATGACCCAACCCACTCTAATACTAGGTATATCCAAAGCAAATGAAAGCAAGGAATGAATATTTTGTGTGTGAATGTATTTGTGTGCATGTGTGCATGAGTGTGTGTATGTGAATAGGCATGTGTGTTACAAGTGCTTCTTGTAGTGTTCCCTGCTAGCACCTGTACTTGCAATAATCAAAAGGTAGAAACAACTTAAATGTCCTTAAAGAGATAAATGAATAAAGAAATGTGTTGCATGTGTGTGTGTGTGTGTGTGTGTGTGTGTGTGTGTATTTATCCTTCAATTTTTTTAAAGGAGTACAATCCTGAACAATGCTTCAACATGGATAAACCTTGAAAATGTTGTGCAAAATGAAATAAGACAGGCAAAAAAGGGCAGATACTGTAGAATTACATTTGTATGAGATATGTGGAATAAGGAACCCATAAAAATTGAAAGTAATACAGACGTTACAAGAAGCTAGGAGGAAGGAAGATTTGATAGTTATTATTTAATGGATATAAAATTTCTAGTGATGAAAACGTTCTAGAAAACACTTTGTTGCCTTTTCTAGTTACAGATGATATAGTAGCATTCTCTACTATTTCTAGAAAACTTTCTAAATGATAATATTACATGTCAAACTTTAGTTATTAGACTCAGACAGCGATGCAACTGGTTTGGTGCTTAATAATGACAGACACTTTTTCTCTTGGCCATGCTACACATTGAGTGGTCACTCTAAGATGGAGCCTGCTCAAGAGCAAAGCAAAGCAATTTCACAAGATACAGAAAGTATAGGAGATTCAGCTGCTTGAGGAATGACCTTCAATTGTATATGAATCCTCACTTTTAGTAGGTTTATAATCAAAGTAGAATCCCATTAGCCAAGAATTTCATTATGCCCCTTTGTACTTACTTGATGAAGTAGTCTCGCCCATCTCGGTTTGTCATCATCTCCCATCCATAGGGTGGTACCTGGTTCAAGCCCCAGGTTCCTGAGGGAGGTGGCCAGCCTGACGACTTCGTCCTGTGGCTAGAAAAGAAAGAAACGCATCATCACACTTGACTTCTGAATATATCTTCTGAGACACTGCATCAGGGCGCAGTCATAGTTCTTAAAATCGTGAGCTGAATCTTCAACCAATTCAAAGCATAATTATAAGGAAGGTTTTAACACTAAGCATTGCCTGTGTGCTCTCTCATTTATTTTCCATAGAAATACACTTAAAGATCTTATAATAAGGAATCAACTCAACAAATAGGTCAGGGAGATTAAGTAACTTTCCTAAAGACAGATCAACCAATTTTGAATGAAAGTACTGCATATTTTCTGTCACGCTAGACATTGGATTCCAAAGACCAAAATAGCAAGTTTAGACTCATAATAATCATACTTCAGGCAAAGTCAATCATGAAACCTTACACAAATCTGTGATTTTAAGTTTCATCAGACAGCCATATATTCTCCTTTTACACTTACCAGTCTACAACTTATCAACAAGATGCAAAGATAGGTAACAGAATTCTCTTCAGAATGGTAACTCCTTTGTACAACTAAAGGATAATAATAAAATAACTTTTAAAAAAGAATTCTCTCCAAGTTTGTCTTTTCATAAGCAAGAGAAAAGGGTTAATAACTCATTTCCTCATGACAAGTAGGCATGACAAGCATCAGGACAGTCACACAGAAATTCGATGCCAGTTTCTGAAACATCACCAATCCTGGTTTTACCTTCTCAACCCAGAACCTGCAGAAATTTCACCTTTGTTTTTGAAAGGAAACAAGTGATATCCTTAGAATAAGTCAACAACATTTGACACTTGATCACGGAAAAATTACTCAGTGGGTAGGCTCTAAGATTGGTGACTTGAAACTGCAAAGAAGGACCATCAAAGCTGTCAGAGGGAAATAAATCAGTGATGACATTTTCATGGATTCACCATCAGTGTCTCAACAGCAATCCAAGAACCCTTGGCAATCAGAAAGGAGCGCCCCCTTTGGTAAGATGAATGTATAGCAAGTGCCTCTAGCCTAAGGTTCAGCCTAGCTAGTGAGTGGCAGGAGATGGATGGCAGTTGCCATCTGCCTCCTTGGTCAGGACTAGTTGTACCAGATGCAATTTATACAGCCTTTTACGGCATCTTTTGTGCAGGCTGTAACCCTGTCATGGTGGATATCTGAAGCAGGGCTCTTAACCATTCTATGAATTGGGGAAGATTTTAAGTCAGCAGGAGTATGGACAACTTCTGCTCCAACCCCTTTGTCCTCTCAGATGCAGCTGACCGCAGCTAGCACTTCTCACAAGAAGCAAAGCTGTTCCTTTTCAATTGTTCTCAGAGGAAGTATTTTGCATAATTTTAACCCTGCCTGTAGTCTTTTTCTTCTACTTCCTTTCAATTTTCTTTCCTTCTCTACAATGTGTGCAAATTTAATGTAGATCTGATAAATTTAGAATGTCACCATAGGACTATTTCTTGCCCATTGACTATTAGAAAAAAAAACAAAAACAAAAACCACGGCCACCACTTTTGTTCCTCTGGCTTACACAAAAGTCAGTAATAACAATTTGCTCTGGTGGTTTTTTTAAAAATGTGTAGCTTCCCTGCAGTGAGAGCAAGTATGAATTTGCTACCCTGAAGGACCACAAAAAAAAACAAATAAAAAACACCCCATACCACTTTTTCCATACTAGCAGGGGATGTATTTGGAATGCTTTCTAAGGTGGTACCAAGAAAACAAGCCCTTAGAGGTCTGAATACACTCTATTTTTTAAAATTAAAACTTTCCCCAAAGCAATACTACAGTTAGAAATGACATAAAGAATATTCTTGAGAATGGAAGGAAGTTTATGTACCGAATGTAATAATTTATTCTAGAGTCCTAAATTATGTACTATATTAGAATTAGGACTCGTTCATCAGAGGGGGCTAACTTGCTTAAGGGAAATAATGGCCTTTCCTTTTGCTTCCTTTTCATTTCTTGCTTTTTTTTCTCCTTGAAACTCTAATCACTAAAGGAAAGACAAAGGTTTCTTAATACAATCTGCATTATACTAACAAGCTGTCCAGGACAGTATGTTCAGGAAACAGCAAACAATAGTTGGTAAAAAATATTTTCAACTAAAGCCTCTCACCAAACACCAAATGAGCAAGAGGTAGTTGTGCCTCTAATTCTAGCTACTCCAGAAACTAAAGATCCAGAGGATCAGGTTTTAAAGTCAGTCGCCATCAAAAAGTAGTGCTGATGGCATGTTTCAAGTGGTAGATCACCTACTGAGCAAGCCATCTGAGAACACACAGCCCTGAGTTCAAGCCCCAGTACTGTCAAAACCAAACCGAACCCAACCCAAATGCACACACAAATGTCAAATAAAATGTTAGTGGAACATCCTAAAATACTAATTGAGTTCCTCGAAGCGAAGGGGCATCTGCATCTATGAATGAACTAATGAAATGATGAAGATCAGACATGATTACATGTTTGCCTATTCATGTATTGGTAGGACATATATAGGTCTGAAAGGCCTTAATAGAATTTTGCAAATGAAAAGTGTATGTAGAATAGAAAAAAAACCTATTAAGGTATCTATCCAGAAGATAGAAAACTCATCACTGAGAAAACTATGTAAAAAAGAGATTTATCTCCTATTTCTAAGCAGTGTAATGACTGAAAGTCCAGCCTAGACAAAAGCTAGCCTCATTGCTTTACTTAGGAAATGGTTTGGGGAATCTAATTTCCCAGTCTCACCTCAGTAAGCACATCAGTCTTTTCACTGTTTTGCAAATGCTCCCCATTATATCACTGCTGAAAACCACAACTTTCTCTGCTGCTTTTTCACCTGTTACAGGTGGCTCCTTTACAGAGCAGCAGGATAACTAAGCACGTAAGAGCAGGGTGCTTGACTGTATTGCTTCGGTGTCTTTCCTAATGTATAAATAACACTCAGTTCCTTTGGAGAGACCAGGCACTGTTAGGATGACATTGTGGAGAACTGACACTCTTCTCTGCAGAGCTCCTTACTTTTAGCCATTATGCCAAGACTGGGTCCCAGAGTGAGATGCATGCTATATTTTCCCCTGTCCTTTTCAGAAAGCATCCATTTTGAGTCACTGGAAAACCTTCCAGGGGCCAAGGCTATGAATGAGTTCTTATCTTCTTTGTTGAAGGTTTTTTTTTTAATTAGTTTCAAGATTCCTCTTGACCATCTCTGTGGAGTACAGAGGCTCTCCTAAATAGAACCCTAACAGTTCTGTTGTGCTTCCCTCATGTTGCTGAGAATGGTATGCAGGTTGGCCTCACCAAGATTATTTGCAAGGAGATCATCCAATCTAGTGTTGCCAGACTTAGTGACAATCAATACAAGCTAGTCAGTTGAATTAGAGTTTTCCATAGAAGTCACCTCTCACATAATATCTGGGCAATGCAGATGCTAATTTAAGTTTGACACCTACCATAATAGATTCAGACTGTCTCTAATTCATGACCTTGAGCAAATTACTTGACCCCTTTGTCCGCCTCAAGATCAGTGACTTTTTTGTAAAATGGTAATAACAGGTTTCACGTCTTTGGGAGAACATGAAACGAGTGTTTTGTGTACAGCTTAATATGATGGCTGGCATACAGTATAGTATGCACTATCTAAACTTTGCTAAGTGGGAATCTATTTATATGTGATAATATAGAGCCTTGTGTGGCCACACAAGCAAAAATGACTTTAATCCATCCCCTGAATAGAAATAAGGTAATAGGCCTAGTCATCTATTCCCTCTAGTCTGGCAAGAGCCAAGCAAAAAGTGACTGAACCAAGTCTTCACCCTTTCCCATAAAGTTAGACATTGATGGACTTATGTCCATTTTTGAAGTAGAAGAAAACATCAGCAAATGCTTACCAGCAACCAAAAATCTGTGATATTGGGTAAAGAGGGTCAGTGTCTACTTTTCTCAGACAAACTCTTGAAAATCCTTACAATGCTGATCTTCTGTGACTTCTATCTAAGATCATGGTGTGTGAACCACTTTCAAACACTTAGCTCAGCTTTAAAAATAGCGACCTACATTGTCAAGGCTATTTAAATCACTCCAGAAATTCCCACTGACTGACTGACTGAACTGGTTTGCAACTTTAAGACTCACTTACCTATTGTTTGCAACAGATTGAAAACATTGCAGATGAAAAAGACCTTCATATTTCATATGAAATGAGAGCAGCAATGAATGGTGTACCAAAGTTGCAGAAGACTTCTGTTCGGGCCATTGGTGAAAGCAATAAACAGTTTCTTCCTAGCTACCTGACCTTGGACCTCCTCCTCCTGCTCCTCCTCCTCCTCCTGCTCCTCTTCCTTCTCCTCCTTTTTCCTGTTCTCCTCTTCTTTTTTGCTTTTTTCCTCTTTTCTCCTCCTTTTTGGAGGTATTGGACTTTGGAACACAGGACCTCCCATTTCCTAGGCAAGCAGATCTACCACTTGAGCCACACCCCCAGTCTTTGCTTTATTTTTTTTTCAGATACCATATCATTCTCCCCAATCTCAGTCTGGCTTTACACTGTGATCCTCTTTTTTCTACCTCCCAATAGCAAGGATTATAGGCATAACCCCCCATACCTGGGTTTTGGACCACATCTGGATGGCCAATCATCCCTAGAAAAAGGCAAGATTATTAAAAAAAAAACAAACCCTGAAGGCTTCCATGGTGATCTGAGTTTCCTTAGAAACAAATCAAGATCAAAAAAGGAATAATGTAAGAGAGGACTATGAGGTTCTGAAGCTTGTGTCAGATTTAAATTCTGTCACATTTGTGACCCTGAGCAAATTACTCTAAGCTCTCTGTACCTTATTTCCATCACCTATACAGTCAAATTATTCTGAGTCAATTTTTCTAATTCAGAGGTAATTTCACCTCCACGGTACAGTTAGCAATATCCATTACACTTTCTGTAGTCAGATGTAGGGAGATGTATACTTCTTATGTCTAGTGAGTAGAGGCCATAGATACTGAACATCCAACTGTACACCTGCTAATCCCTTACCAAAAAC